AAGGGTGAGACCCCAGTGACACCTTACTGCAACTCGGCTCTAGATCCCTGTAACACACACTGAATCACTGCTTCTCCTCCAGAAGGACAGAGGGGCTAAGGGTGAGACCCCAGTGACACCTTACTGCAACTCGCTAGATCCCTGTAACACACACTGAATCACTGCTTCTCCTCCAGAAGGACAGAGGGCCCTTCTGGAGAATTTGTTCCACAGTTGGAGTAGGAGGACAACAGTAACTCAGGTTTAGGAGTGAAGTAGATGTGGTTAAAATGGGGATAATAGATAGAGGAGTGTTTCCTACTTATATTCACATTGTCAGAAGCTACAAGGCAAGACAAGGCAGTGAAATCTTGCACAGACCACGCACGTTTATCTAATGAAGGTCATCTCACAGGAGAACCCATAGCCCCAAACGTTGACCCATCTCTTTCTGAGGCCTTCTGATTTGGTTCCATATCCATTATTCTTCAGCCTGAGATCATTTAATTGTGTAATCCCCTTCAATTTCAGAATGAGGTAATATGAAACATAGAGCCAAGAAGAGGGGCCCTGTTTTCAGTCCTGAAAGCTGTGGTGTCTGACCACAGCGGTGAGCTGTGCTGGGTAATGTGCAGGCTGCAGTCTGCATTTCTAGCTGACACCTTTATCCAAGGACATCAGGAATTAGGAATTACCAGTAACAGCAATTCAGGAAGGGCTTTGACATTTAATATTCCACCTGGAGAAGCTTTTGCACTCTTTAACACAGACTACCCAGACACACTTCTTCAGGGAGCGACGACAAAAGAACAGTTTGACTTCCAAATCCGTATGAATGCATTTGCCCCCCGTCCCTTTCTGACGTCACCCTGGCAAACTGGGAGTAACGGCAGCGTTCGGGGATGATGTCATCTCCAAACACGCCACAAACATAGGCGTCTTCTTTCGGCGGTGAGGAATGATATTTAGAGGCCTGATTACCTCACGGCGTCGGCTCGTCCCTGGAATCTGCATGCAGCCAAGTAGAGAGCTTAAGCAAAGACGTACGTAGTGACGAACAAACTCCAGCATAGAACTTTATTGACTGATGAAAATGAAAGAGCTAACAGTTTTCATGTTGCACTATAAAAAACATTTATGCCCATTGTAACGACATAAAAGCTGCCACCAGTGCACCATATGGGATCTGGAGTGAGTTCAAGGTGAGAACAGGGCTAAGTCAGTCGGAAGCAGATCTTCACGAATGTGACATCAGCAACTGGTAAAAAGCCTGGCCGAGAAGGAGAGAGAGAGCGGGGACGCTCTGTGGCCCATTTCCTGCAACATGGCCCAGAAACACTGGAAATCCGAAAACAGTGAATACATAGAAACAGGTGGAAAACAATGCCTCAGTTTATGATTTATTACTTTCTGGGAAAAATTAAATGGGAAACTGCACCCCTGACAGTCTCCAGAGCCCAGGTGCGTCCTTGCCCCCTCCGGCGCCCAGGTGCGTCCTTGCCCCCTCCGGCGCCCAGGTGCGTCCTTGCCCCCTCCGGTGCCCAGGTGCGTCCTTGCCCCCTCCGGAGCCCAGCAGTGCCTTCTCTGCTGTCTGCTGTCCTGGCCGATGACTGGTTGTCCTGGGTTCTGAGAGTAATGACTTTGGGTTTGTTCTGTGGACATTGATTGTGCTTTGTGGTGCTGCTTTTCGATTCTGTGGTTCTGCACCTGTAAGTTGATACTGCAGATTGGTTTGGCCTTGGTTTCTTTCTCCGAATTTCCCTGGATCTGCTAACAGACTCATGCCTCGTGTTGCGGTTTCACCTCAGGGTGAAGGTGAACCTTGTGGCTAAGTGATGTTGGAGGTGTTTGCTCCTGACCTGGCAGGCCCCTCGTGGTCAGGTTCTCCTGGGCGCACCCTCTCTGGGGCCACTCTGTGGTTGGCCCTCAGCATTAACGTTTGGCTTGTTCCAGTCACTTGGCGAATGCTGTTGTCTAGAGCAAATGATGAGAACCAGAGATGTAACACTCTGTAGAGCAGCTGGCACAGGCAGGACACATTCGCGTCGTTTGAGCGTGATGTGGTCAGTGACACATGCACACATGAGCTGAGTGCCCCACCTCTCTGTAATTATGGCTGTGGGGGAATGTGCCTCTTTACAGCATCTAACACACTGAGGTTGTGCGTGGCGCCTTGCTGGGGCCCAAGGTCTTTGTGAGTGCGTTTATACCGTGGGCCCCTGGCTCTGGAATCCCCTTTGCCGCTACGCTAAAGGTAGCAAAATCGGCTGTTATGTCTCTGTGTCGCTCAGTTTGTGCTAAAGGTGGTAATTGACCCACTTTATCTGCATAACCGTGAGATTGATGAACGTGCCAGTTCTCCTTGGTGATTTAATGGGTTCAGTGTGCTCTTCTGCTCAGCACGGGGCCGCTAAGATGCCAACCTTCATGCGATGCTGAGCTGTGCTGGACTGATGCGGCTCGTCTGGGCTGAGGGCCAAGGCGTGTGCACACGTGCCTGTCTCTGCATGTCTGCAGGGTTGGGTGCTCGCTGACCAAGTATAATCTGCCTGATTTTCATATCCAGCGTCTCGTGTTTCCGTGCACTGTCAGGGAGCTTACGAGTTCCCTCTGCAATCTGTATTTCAGATCGCTCCTGTTATATATGTGGATCCATCCTTGACCCTGTATTGGTACAGAATGTCTGTCTTATGTTGCTATGACAACCTGGTGCTTACACGGATTCCCCGGGTGGCTCGTGAGCCTGTATGGTACTGAGTGTCCTTGGAAACGTGTGTGAGACTGATTCTCCTAATATTCTGACTTTGTTTTCCTAGAGACAATTGCCTGCTGTCCATAACGGTTCACTGTGTGTCTCCTCCAGTCATATACTGGTAATTTCTCTGTGTTTCAGGTTAACAGAACCATCGGGGTCCCTCACAGATGGACCCATCAACTACAAGTACAAGACAAAATGCACCTGGCTCATCGAAGGATAGTGAGTACTTTGTTCCCCTAGAGAACAGCATGCTAGCAGGGTGAAGTCTGGCTGTCCACTAGTGCCCTCTACTGGCAAGTAGTCATAACACGTCCTTTAGTTAGAGATTGACATCTTGTTTTAACAGATAATCCTGGCTACAGAGATCTGGGGAAATACTATGCTGGTTTTAGGTAGACAGCCAGGCATATGAATGTAATCTTTCAGTGTATTTGGGTGCACACCTGTCTGAAATTCTGACCACACTGAGCATGACTGCCAGGAAGGAGGTAGGAGTCATGACAAAGAGGCAAATAGTCCCACGGATCAGAAACTGCACTCTCCTCCAGAAGGTCAGAGGCCTCTGCCCAACTAATGTTGTTCTTATTTCTACAGCCCAAACACTGTCCTGAGGCTGCGATTTAACCATTTTGCAACGGAATGCAGCTGGGACCACATGTATGTCTACGATGGAGACTCTGTGTATGCCCCTCTGATCGCTGTTTTCAGGTGAGTGTTCCTGCATTAGCGGCTCCTCTGGTAGTGCCTGTGTTTAGCTGGTTGTGAGTTAGCGGCTCCTCTCTGTGGTACAGCCTGTGTTTGCCAGCCTGTGCAGTACCATCTGGGAGGTGGGGGTCAGAGTGTGTGCGTGTGTGCGTGTGTGTGTGTGCGTGTGCGCAGTGGGCTCCATCCATTCACCTGTCCCCTTCTGTGTGCTGCTGTTGGCCCATGACCTCCATCTCCAGCAGATAAGGCTGTTCTTTCTTCTCTGCTGGCCCATTCCCGTTCACAGAGAGCTTCATTTATTTTTAGCACAGTGAGTGGGAGAGTGTCTGACTGCACAGATGAAAGCAGAGGTGCTGTCGCCGTGTGTGTGTGTGTGTGTGTGTGTGCGCGCGCGCCTGTGTGTCTGCACACTGTTCAGGCTTTACACATCAAAAGACCCCAGAAATGTTCTGGTCTATGGGAAAATTGATCAGAAATGGTGTTTTCCTGCCTTTGCTGCATCGCTGCTGGGAGTGTTTCTAAGGTAACGGTGGCTACAAGCCTCATGCCAGTAGGTAATGAGGAGTGACTTCATGGCTCGAGTCACATTGGGTGAGTGACCTTTTGCCCCCATCCCTGCAGCGGCCTCATTGTCCCAGAGGTTCGAGGGAATGAGACCGTGCCAGAGGTGGTCACCATGTCTGGGTACGCGCTCCTGCACTTCTTCAGTGACGCGGCATACAACCTCACGGGTTTCAACATCTTCTACTCGTGAGTACCTGGCTCCCCGGTCAGCCCCCCCATATCGGTGATGCCGCTGTGCCATGCTGGTGGGGGCGGCGCTGGCTTGTGCTCGCCTGCAGGTGATGCGGGCATTGTCTTGCCGCAGCATGTTTTGGTCTCCTTTGCTTGCGCTCTGGCGCCCTCGTGTGGTGTCTGTTTATTAATGAACGTGGAAGGCCATTGTTTGTGAGATGGAGGGTTGCATGTCACTGTGCTAAATATCAGCGGGGGTTTAGTTCTTGGGAGACTGTGCTGTTCGTCTCGGTGTGTTACGTGTGGCTCTGTTGTCATCTGAGAATGAAAGACAGAGGTCAGAAAAAGGTCAGATAAACAAAAAAGAGTGAGTGCGGGAGGGTGAGATCCACGGGGATGGGGAGGTTCCCTTATTAAACGTCTACAGCCTACATATGGCCAATTTGGGCAGGGTGGGGGTTCTGGGATCTTACTGCTTTGCTTTGTGTAAAACGCTGCCTACCTAGCCATAATAATAGAGGAAGGCTTGTTCTGACCTGTACAGAAGAGATCCAAGTGGATGGAATATCAGTGCAGTACTGCATGTGTCACAGTAAAAGACGTCCCTGGATCTGCAGGCCCAGGAGCAGAGCACTGGCAGCAGAACTTCAGTGCGTCAGTAAAAAGCTTCCCCTGGATGTTCCAGCCTGGGATACTGACACATTTATTTATTTCTGTGGATTTTAAGGCATTTAAATAACAATGGTGATGTGATGATTTTGAGTGTGTGGGCCTAGGGCTGGGCGATATATTGATAAAATATTGTGATGATTGTGATTGTTGTGATTATGAGCATTCATATTTATTTTTACACGTAATATTTAATTTTTTATATCCGGTTTGCAGTTTTGATTTCATTGTACCTTGTGCAATGACAAAGCATTAATTGATTGGTTGATTGATTCATTTAAATAATCATCAGTTTGAATCTCGTGAGCATTGTGATACAGCCTAAACACTTGTTTTCTTGCATATAATGCAGTTATAATGCACTACTTTTACACGCATTCCATCATGGCATGAATCTGTTGTTGGTGTTGTGTATACCTGTCACTTGCTCCATAACTATTAGTAAAACAATCTGATCATCATACATCAGAAAAACTCAAAACCAACTGTCATATTTTTACCATTTTCTGCTTATGAATTTTAGAATAATGTGATAAATATCAATATTGTGAAAATCCTATGACATCATTTTTGGGGCATATCGTCCAGCCCTAGTCACATCCATTACCTGATCGCCCAGCCCTAGTCACATCCATTACCTGATCGCCCAGCCCTAGTCACATCCATTACCTGATCGCCCAGCCCTAGTCACATCCATTACCTGATCGCC